CTTTTTAGTTTCATTTTTTTATTTTCTCTGGAAAGATCTTTATTTTCCCGTCTGCTGCAGCGTTAGATACTCTCACCATTTCACTCCTTTAGACTCCAGCGGCGTTTTCTTCGACTCCAGCTCACTCTTCACCATTTCTTCCATTTCTTCGACCCCAGCTCTGTCTTGGCTCCATTTCTCGAACTCCATATTTCTCTAGCTCCTTTCATTTCTTCAATCTAGGTCCGTTCAGATCCATTTTTCTAGCGTCATTCAGATCTGGGTCCATGGATTCCGCGTTCTCATTGTCTGTCGTCCGTCGGGTCTGGGTTTAGTGCCAAAGTCTTGGTTTGTCGAGTCTGGAGGTGCGTCATCGGTCGTCTGCATGTTGAGTCTGGGTCCGTCGTCCATATGCTAGAGTCTAGGTTTCGGTTCATCTTTCGCTCGTGCTCTAGTCTGTGTGCTGGAGAAGTCATGGTCCGTGCATCATTCCTTCAAGTGGGTTCAGATCTGGAGGTCCGTGTGAGTCCGTGTGCATTGCTCCTTCAAGTGGGTTGCTCCTCCTTGTTTGGCTGTGACCCCAAACCAGTAGCAGAATTCTTGGTATGAAAATTTTTATTTTCAAAATTATTTATTTTATGTATGATTTGCTAATAAATTTTGCGTTTTTATTTTCTATAAAATCAATAATCAGATGCATTTAAAACCAATTTGAAAGAAGCATTGAGGGCATTGTACAGAGGAATTGTTCCTAGTCTTTCTAGTATGTTGTTCTCTGATATTCTTCTAGCGAATCTTAGCTCTTAAACTTTGCTCGAATGATGGATATGATTTGTACAATTCTGATTATGAGTGTGAAATCAATTGTCTACCAACTTATAATCTACTTCACTCTTGTCTAAGCCAGGAATTTCTAGCAATTTCTACATTGTGTTGTTATATATAGATGGAAGTTTGAGTGTATCAGTTTGGACTTATGTGGCATTTTGTGAAATACAGAAACCTACTGTTTGTTTGCTCCTCATTATTTTCCAGTCGTAATGGATCTTCAAAAAAAAAAATGATATTGCTAAACTTAATTGATGGCTGAATTACTACTTCCAGTCGTAATTAATGAAATCATTTTGCTCTTGATTTGCAATATTGATTAATTGTTCCTTTTTCTTCGTGGTTCATAAAGAATGTAATAGATTTTGGAACATATAAAAGCTAAAAAATAATAATTTTGATCTGTTATCTATAGATTCATTTTGATTTATTATCTTTTTCTGGCCTCGTGTGCTTTTAATTCCTTAGAGAATAGATTCCTTAAGTGTACTGGAAACTGAAGTCATGTAAAAGAGATTCTATCAAGGCCTTATTTTTGTGTCAAGTGATTCTGAAATGTTGCCAGGTATCATTGTAATCCAATTGTCTGATTGAATGATGAAGTTATTATTTGTGGAGGATGATCTACATTCATTATTGAAATTGACTTTCGTTGCTTGCTAGTTCTTTCTAACTTGATGACCACCCAAAGTTTGTTAGTCTTATGAGTTCAATTCCTTTTCGTCAAGGATAATGCATAATTCTGGAAAATTGCGAAACATCTATGCTAAGGAACATGTTTAAACTATAGATATGGTAAATTAGGTTGCTTCCTGATGATCCTAATATATAATTTCTTAATTTCATGTTATTGTTGCCACTTTCTAAATGAATGTGCAACATGTGTATTATATTTCTTCATCTTACTTAATCTAAAAGGCTTCATTATTGATTGATGCAGGTGGATAACGAAGCTGCAATTCTTGAACAAATAGATATGGGAAGTGACATTGAATAGATGGATTTATTCATATTTAATATGATATTTACCATTCAACTAAACTATTTTTCTTTATTTTTTGCAAAGAGAATGTGAATCAATACTCTACAATTAAGAAAGAATGGTGTTAGATGTACTTATTTTTACCATGTAAACATGGGCATATTGGAAATGTTTTTAGGTTCTTAGATTGTAATCTATATTATAATCATGTATATTGTAATGTTGAAAATTAGTTGAACTTTTGTATATAGTGAAATTGCTTGTATACTTTTGTTAATTATATAAATATTTTTCTTGCATATTGGTTATAATGTACAGTACATGCAAATAATAAAAAATGAATTAAATATATTTTTTAAAAAAAACCTACAGGAGCTTTTATGTTCAAAAAAACTCCTGTAGACTGACTCTTTGGGAGCTTTTATACTTAAAAAAGCTCCTGTAAGTTGATTCTATGGGAGCTTTTAATTTTATGCGTAGAAAAGCCCCCGTTTATGAGAACTTTTGTGCCAAGAAATGCTCCTATAAGTAACGCTCCTTTATATACGAGAGCTCCTACTTTCAAAACGTTTACAAAACACTCTGAAAGCATAAATAAAAATGCTTCGAGAAGCATTTTTTGTAGTAGTGTATATATTAAATTTTGGATATTGATATTTAAAGGTCATCGCAATTCAACCAGTAAAAGACGAGCATGAAAAAACAAAGAAGAAGAAGTCTTAGGTTCACGCAATCTGACATTTTTAAATAGGTTGTTGATGTAGCAAAGATGTGGTGGGTAGTGGATGATACGGAAGTGACATGGTAGTGGTTAGACTTGCAAAAAAAAATTTGATCGTAAAATAATTTAATGACAAAAGTTTATTGATGAGTGAAGGTAGTGAGGCTGTACTTCTGACTGAACTAATTAATTACAATTTTTCTATTATTAACATTTGGACCCGTGTACTTGCCGGAGCATTTGCACATTTGAGCCGCATCAATGCCAGATCTTGATGTCCTTCCAAAACTTCCAGATCCACGGTGGCCTAGCCAAGCTTCCTATTAGTTGCAATTTTACAAGGCACAAGCTTTTAGACCTTGCGTAGTACCAAAACCAATAAAATTTGCCTCAAGATGGTAAAGAGCTTAACCCTTGAGATGTACTCCCCACATAACACTTGGAAGTGAACCAATGGAAATATGTATACAAAATAGGCCTACAAAGGCCCCAACCAAATTTGCGTGCGCATTGTTTTGCACCAAAAATAAAAATTTTGAAGCCCAAATCCAACCCAAGATAAAATGTTTTAAAATAATTAAAAAAATAATCAAGAAAAAGCTAAAAGCTTTAACCATTAAGTCAAATAAAGTCATGATCACTGCCTCTATTCAATACTCCACCCATGGTGTTCAAATTATGGGAGCAGGGAAGGCGGCCAACATGGGGAGTTACATTGCTTCCTAAAAATAAGGGAAGGAGTAGGCAAGTCAAGTAACTTGGGCACCAAGTCAAGTTGGTCTATGAACTATGGACGACTCCACAAATCATCATCATCATTATGATCAAATCAATTATAACCAGTCATCAACTATGAACTACTCCACAAATTTCCAACAAGCCTTTGATTTTTCAATAATCATCCTTTTGTGAGCATTTCTTACAGAAAGAAACTGCTTTTGTTTTTTTGTCAACTCAACATCTAATAAATCCAATCTTAAAATTTTAATTGCTTAACTTGAATAAACGTAGTTTATTAGGTGCTGAAAAATTATTTGTGATAACTGCTTGTGGGATGAGCTTCCTCGCTACTGCCCGGATTACATTTGACCCAGTGTTGGAACTACCTATATATGGTAATGGGGGCTCTCTACCTCTTCCCATATATTTAAATGGGTCTCCAAAGATTTAGCCTCATTAAAAAGTTCTAAAAAAGATAAAAGAAATATAATATATCTAGATGCAATACACACACACTTATGTAATATTCCTTTTTATTCTACTTATAAGATAGAGAGAGAATAGATTTTTTTAATCTTATTTATAAGTTATGTAATTAAAATTTTTATCATAAATTTTTTTTATCCTTCATTAACAATTTATACAAATACATATTTAAAAATATAAGGCATTTTTTTAATTTAGATGTTAAAAATATAAGACATTTTTATTTTTTAATGTGTAATTAATGATTATTTTAATCTAAAAATACATTTAATAAATTAACCACTCAACCATTTACATTTAAAAGAGACACCCTATTAAATAAGAACAAATAAAAAGATGGTATCAATTTATTAGGAGGCATGATTAGGTTAAATATGTCTTATATTTTTTAATAGAAGGAGTATTTGTTTTGCTTTGTTTTTTTTTCCCCCAAAAATTGGCTCCCCTCAACCTAAAGGCTGCTTCCACCCCTTTGAACCTGTGGACTGCTTGCAGGAGCATTTTGCATATTTGAGGCATTTCAGTGCCATATCTTAATGTCCTTCCAAGAGTTCCAATGCAGGGACCAATATTTGAGCTTCCAATTAGTTGCAAAGTTAAAAAGCACGAGCCTTTACACCTTACATATAGTCCCAAAACTAAATAAAAAGACTTAATCCTTCTTAAAATTTTTAAATTTTGCTATCTTTAAGTTTAATTATAGGTCTTAGAAGATCTTCATTATTCTTCATGGATCGCTGGTATTGCCATGTAACTCATGTATGTCCAAAAAGAGAAAAACAAAAGAAAAGAAAAGAAATACCCACAAGAATGTCCTTGTTAATAATAAATCAGAACTCCATAGAAGAGGGTGCACCTAAAGTGAAATTATGAAACCAAAAATGTGGATAAACACAGTTATAAATAAAATGTTAAAATATAGTCTTATACCTGCTCATGACGATGATACTACTAACATAACCATTGACAACTAGAATCCAAGTCAATTAGAAATCTCACAGAAATAAAGTAGCACCATGAATGCTTTATAATACAACTGATTTTGAAGACACACTTCTGAACTGTTACATTCAGATTTAGGCATATCCACTAATAATGCATATTAGAAAGATTACATATCATTCACCAAACTCTGAACAAAACACTAGCAACAAGATATTCTTGCAACCAACCTCTGCTGAGAAATCCTCTAAAAATGCTCCATGAAGATCCTCTCACGTTATTTATCACTTGACACTGTCATTTTAGTTACTTATAATTCAAAGATGCTATGCTACACCACAACTAATTATGTGGCTGTCGCCTTTGATCTAGGTCAAGGACCAATCTAACAACTCGGCAAAAGTTGAAGATTGTGAATACAATGACAGCAATTCCAACCAAAGTAGAACTTGCTCTCCAAGCGTCTCGGAAGTACACCAACCTCAACGAAGCCATAGTACGATACCATTCATTTTGGTAATGTTTATTCAAATCCTCTATAATCTTTTTATAGCATGTCTTGTTCGCCACAACATGTTTGCAGAGACTATTCACCAGTGTTGCCACTTCCTTATGGCTCCCAAGTTTATGGACAATGACTTCCTTCTCAACTAGCAATTCGACATCATCTTTGGTGTGAATGAGAGAGTCAATGAGAGAGACATAGTTACAAATGTAAGGTTGATCTGAGTAATGACACTGCTCAAAGGCTATGAGGTTTCTGAGAACACATTCTATTGTGTTGTCTATTTTTAACTGTGGGATTTGCAAACGAGCTTTGAAGTATGAGGATTTCGGTAGACAACCCAAGCACAGAAACCAACTCAAGATTTTAACTTTCTCCAACTTTATGTCAACTAAGGATCGATTGGTGACTTTCTCAAAGCTCACTCCAGATTCTTGCAACTTGGTTGCAATCCTTAGAACACGAGAGGACGATACTTCTTGATGACCAGTCACTTCCTTACAAAGATAGAGGTACCTGATCAAATAAAATCCTTTGTCAGTTTGTTATTATTATTACTATTGGTGATATCAATATGCATATATACAATTAGTTCTCTTAATAATTTTACTTGATTTTTTGTCGGCTTTTTCGTTCCCAAAATTTATAATTGACTCTTTGTATATTTAGATTCTGCCATTAAATTTTCATCAATGTTCCCAAGGGCAAGTCAAACGTTGTAGAACGTAGAACCTTCTTTCTATTTAGATTTCTGTGTAAGTTCTCTCTACGACACATCTCAATCATCAGATCAAATTTTAAACATCAGTTCAAATTTAATATTATATAAAACTATTATTAAAATATAAAATTATAATAAATAAAGAAATAATTCCAAACAATGAAACTTGATTTGAACAGTTCAGAACTTGAGCGAAAATATTAAAAAAATACTTTATAAATATTAAATCTAGCTTGTTTAAAATTTGATCTAATGGTTGAGATGTGCCATGCATGGAGAAACACTAACTAAAGGAAATAGAGGGAAATCTAAGTGGAGAAACACTAACTATATAAAACCTGAACTTCTTTATAAATTTGTAAGCTATAGAGATTAAATAATTAAAGAAACTATACGAGATATTATAGATTATATTAATAAGAATGTAATAATATATAAGTATTATGCAGCCAAAATCACAATTCCTTTTTTTAAAAAAAAACTGTAACTGTATGCGTAACAAACAGTATTTGAATATTAAGATTAGTATTGAAAATTAAATACAGCGGTTTTAGAGATAATAAAAGTATGAACCTTATCAAATCAGTGAAATGCACAGGATCATTTTTCCAGTACATCTTCACTCGTTCAAACCTGGTTGAGGGCTTCTTTTGCAAATCAGGATCTAAATTATTGTTGTTTTCCGGGTGCTCAGGATGGTCTAAATCTTGTTTTTCATCATCGAATTTTTTATAAGGATGAATACACTCGAAGTAATCGTGGCCAACCTCAAGGAATTTTTCACGCTTCTTATCGGTCTTAGGGACAACAGAGCTGTATAGCTCTTCCAAGATGAACAATGGAATCTGGTTTTCAAGCAGAAGCAAGTCTCTCTGGATGTTCTTGTTGAGCCATGTTTGTTTCAGTATAATATCATCTTGATGTAGTTCTGGTTTGTTCATCATCAGAAAAAGCTCCATGATGAAAACAGAATCCAAAAGAATAATTTCCACGAACTTTTCCTTAGTGAAGGATATTGGAAAATTGTCTGCATAACAACGGCGTATAGCTTGTTCTTCATCTTCAAGGTACTTTTTGTAGGCCTTCATAGCTTCCTCATTTCTCACCCGATCCTTGAAGTAACGAAAGTATCGTAGTTTCTGGTATTGCATTGGATCTAGATTTTGATCGCCTAAATGAAGGGGTCCAATGGAGATCAGCTGAGGAGTATAGGCTTCCTTGTTCATGTTCCGAAGACTACATGGGACTCTGTAGATGTTACACTCGGACGTGTTCAGATCTTCTGGTATCTTACTTATGTCTATAATGTGATTAAACGTCTGATAAGTGGGTCTTGATGATCCAGAAGTCATCATTAATATCCTCACCTATGAAGGAAATGACTACAGAAAGTGAGAAGAAATTCAGACAACACTTTGTTGCCGTGGGGTGAGAGAGAGAGAGAGAGAGAGAGGGAGGGAGGGAGAGTGGTGGAGGAGAGGACGATATTTTCTGTATTTGAATCAACAATTTGAAATCCGGAGCGGAACCAACCGGTCTAGAAACAGGCCTACGGTCAGGTCCAGAAGAAGCCAAGGAATCGAGGACATTGTTGTCAAAACAAGTGAAAAATGAACCGGTCAGTCCGGCAAGAACCGGTGGTGGAAAATCGGTATGTCATTTTTGTATCGTTATTTGTGTTGTAGTTTTTTTTTTTTTAGTTTCATATATGTATGTATATGTATATATTTATATTTTTGATAATTTATTAATAATTTTAGTGGCAAAAGCTTATGTCCGATCCGACAAGGATTCATATCATTTTTTGCATTCACTGGTTCTGCCGGATGAGAAGGGGGAAAAAAGGGAAGACGACTGAAGGAAATAAAATAATAGATAGGAAAAATTATTCTAAGGTCTTATGGAAGTATTCAAAATATGTTGAAATCCCATAAATTTATCAAATAGCTACCAGATCCTCAGGGACTTAAGGGTGAATAAGTTTGAAAATGAACGCAGATCTCATGAAGCCCATGATCAGCAATACTGAAGATTGATGCATATCCATGATTGTTAATTACGGTAGGGTAATTTTCACTTCCTCATATCTATGATTACCACCCTTGTCTTCATCTAAGTGAGGTCGGAGTGTTCATCCGCGACTGCAATATTTCATCAACAGAAAACAATACAGTGATTGTTAAGTGAGTAAATGATTGCTCATGCGTTAATGATTTCATTATTATTTAAGGGTAGGATAATGCTTTCTAGGTATACTTGCGATCATTTGATTTACATTACTAATGGGTATGGATTATCTGGTGCGATATTGATATGTCGAAAAATATCTGATACGAACAACTCTACATGTTATCAATAATGTATTCTTGTGTTGTCAATATGCTATCGATAGTTGTCGATATACTGTATTGTGCAGGATGACTTGTTAGAATGCTTATACCACTGGAAAACATGTATTATGTTATGTTTTTTTTCATATAAGGGACATTTTATATATTATTATCAAGCATGTGATGCAAGCTTCTTTTGTTGCAAAATCTCTGTTGTACCTTATAAGACTGACTTGTGGTGTAGGATGACCTCTATAGAAAGAAGATAGAATTCTCGTGGTGGCTATTGAGTCATTGTAACGGCGTGAAGGAGCACGAAACCATGCCCTTGTTAGAAAGATCCCAGGAAAGGAAGAAGAGGAAATAGAAGATTATTGAAAGAATTTTAGGATATGACTTTATTAATAATCATGTCTTTTTATATAATTAGCCTATTTTGTGTAGTTAACTTAGACAATGTTATTATGAATGGTGATTATAAATTTGCAAATGTGGCAAAAAGTCTGTTTTATTAATTAAATGTTGACAAGTGGCCACCTGTGATTGACAAGTAGTTTTCACTTTATTGATAAGCTATGCATTCACTATTGACTAGCGCGGATACATTGTAACCAATTTTAAAATTTTATTGTTATTTCTTAAATGAAAATTATTGAGTATATAAATATGGATTGTATTATTTTATGTTAAATATATTTTACTTTTGTTCTTCATAATTTTCTAGAAAATTAATAAATTAAATGATTAAATTTTTATCTTCTCTTAAAATTTTTAAATTTTCCCCCTCTTTCATTAAAAATATATTTTATCTACAATTTTTCAATATCTTAAAAAAATATTTTAGTAACAAATTAATTTCAATCACATAAATTTTGTTAATACTCTTTTTGAATAATTTTAATTTTTTAATGAATACTAATAACTTATATAATATAAGATAATTATAAAGATCTCATGTGTGATCAATCTAGCTAATCTCTAATTATTATCTACCTCCAAGGTGAATATGAATAATTTTTCATATTCTTCTTAGTAATAATAAATTATAAAAATCTTATTAGTAATTTCTTTTTTTATAATGATGGAGACCTAAATACTCTAGATAGAATCACATAAAATATTTGTCCAAAAGCAATTAAAGCTCGACAGAACAAATAAACACCATTTTTATACTAAATTAAACATCAAGTGTGCAATATGTTAAGTAGTCTATAATATCATACCAAACCTGATAATAATTGAAAGTAATGACCCATCAAGATTTTAGTTTATCATATTAAAATACTAGCTTAATAATATAATCCTTAAAAAAATAAAATATATATATGTCTAAAAAAATATTATGAATAATACAAAATTAAAAAATAATTTAATATTAAACTTAACACATCTTCACTATTCTTCTTTTTGTTTCATGCTCCTATATATCATTTATTTGTAATTTCGTATATAAAATAAAAAAATTGATTTCATAAATATCTTTTGAATGATTTTATTTAATTTTTAAATTTTAAAGTAATTCATAAGATATTTTTTTAATAATTTAAGTTATAATTTTATAAATTATTTCATATAATTTTAAATTATATTTAATTTTTAAAAATTATTTTGGTGGAGAAAAATGTTGTCACTAAAAGTAATCATGCAAATTATTTTAATTTTTAAATTATTTTTATAAAAATGCTTTTGGTGACGACAAATGTTACTACTAAAAGTCTACTTTTAATGGCAATTTCTAAAAGTCACTATCAAAAATAGATTTTTAGCCAAAATTTCACTTTTGGTAGAGATGTAATGCCCTTCTGACATTTTGAGCTAACATGCAAATTCACCTAGGTTTAAACAAAAAAACCATTAAAGATTGGCTAGTTGGGATCCCACCTAACAACCATTTGGAAAACTATGTCAAATAGGTTAAAAGTTGTATTCATACATAATGGAAGTAAAAAGATCACATGTAGAAAGGTCTAGAAGAAAACAAGAGTAAAACGGCACCTTCAGGCTAAATTGGACCATATGCTGCAGCATGTGATACAAAGCTACATGTTCTCATTTTGTGACACATATTCTTGTACATGGTCATATCAAGCAAAGTGATCTATTGTCGATACTCAGGTCACATCTTCTCTAGCAACCTCTCTACCTTCTATCCTATGTATTACTATCTTGCAGATAAGTAGAATAGGCTAATTGATCTTTAAATCTTCTAATGAATTCCTTTTCATCTATATCCCTTTGTCTAAATACATGAAATTCTTCTTCTTTCTTTATACAGAAGGAGATCAGAAAGTAGTAGCCAAAGAAGACCTTCTTAAACTCTTCTAGCAACAATCTTGCACTATTAGATGATCTTACTGAATCCTACCATTTCTCAATTGCTCCGACTAGCTGTACTATTGCCAGGGTTAACTTCTGCTCTCATGTGGAGATCACCACCCTGAATATCATCTTGTGGTGCTTTATCCATAACTCGACCTCACTCTTCTTCATATTGTCGTCCAAGGTCGATGGATTGAATCTCACAAATGTCTTTCATGCTAGCTCTTTCAATAGATTGGTCCATGCTGCCCTTAACTGCCTACCTACTACCCAAACCTTGAGATGGTCTAAGTTTACTTTAGCCTTCCTCTTGATCAAGTTTGCCCTAACCTTCAAATCTATCACTGTGGCCTCTGTCCCTTAACAACATATTATGATCACGCATGGTCCTCCTTATATCTACTACCATATCCCTCAACTCCTCCAATAACTCAATCTTGTCTATCTCATAGCTATTGCTTAAGTGGTTGAACCTCTAGCACTTGTTCATCAATTACCAGTAAGCATCCTGAGACTTGAGTACCTCTTCTCATTTTCTCCCCTTTTAAGGATGGAAAATAAAAGATACGGTAAGCAAAAAGAAAAAAGTGGTGTAATGAGAGAATATAAGTTGCCAATAACTAAGATGAATAAAACACACAATGATAAGGACCAAATCTCAAAACTTAAAAAACTGATACTAATAATATAATGCTCTATTGATATTACAGACTAACATGACAATTCACTTGGGTTTAAATAGAAAACTTAAAGATTGGATAGTTTGGATCCCACCTAACAATCATTTAGAAAACTATTTTAAATAGGTTAAAAATTGTATTCATACACAATAAAAGCAAAAAGATCACATGTATAAAGGTCTAGAAGAAAACAAGAGTGAAATGACATTTTTAGGCTGAATTGGGCCATATTGCATGGCATGTGCACCACTGTATATGCTACATGCCGTAGCATGTGATACAGAGCTATATGTTCTCACTTTGTGACATGTGCCATGACACGAGCACTATGTACCATGGCACATGTATTAGATTTTAATGTCAAATAGCACATCTAATATGAACTTCCAACATGTGCTATTTTTGTATCTGATATCCAATTGAGATGGTTCAAATGCATACATGAAGTTTATCTCAAAATCTAACTAATGATATTGGTTTCATTTAAATTAGATATTTCATTTGAAAATTGGATACCTAGATGTAAAATGATTGTTTAAAGTCATATTCTCTAATATGAGCATCCTGATTTTAGACCAAGAGTCATTGGTCATTTCTAAGGCCTTGACCATATCCAATAAGATATTCAATATTTGATTGATCAATTATACACATAGTATCACACATACACACAAGTTTGACTGCTTACTACCCCATCACATACTTGGGCAAATTCACACTTTCACACACATATACACATAAATACACATACTTGGTCAAACTCCATACTTTCATATTGACACAACATGTGCAAATGCACTTGCAATTATACCTTAGCCCTTAATTATAGGATTCATCCTAAACACAGATACATGCATGCTACAAGGCTAGGTTGCACAAATACACACCCATAAGTGCATCAACAAGATATGCTTATGAAAAACCTATGACAATTTATATACACAAAATGACAGCTTTAAGTTCATTACACCCATTAGCAAGCTAGTAGTATCAGAACTACTCTTGGCCCAACTCTTTCCCTTTCGAGCTACCAACATC